TTTTTTAGCATTTTTTATGCTAAAGGAACCAAAAAAAACCTGCCATTAAAATGGATTTTTATTTTCTTTGCTTGCGCGTAATGTTTTCCATTGAGAAAATCAAATGGAGACTCGGGGGTGAGGAGAGTGACAGTGCCCCCAACATTATGGCACACAATCAGTGATGTCCTGGAGGTTGAAGAGATGACAGAATTAGGAAAAGCAGTTTATGAGAGGTAGCCAGCCGTGTTTTTACCGTGTTAATCCAGGTCTTTCTTTTACTGCTCGCTTTTTGGGTAATGTTGAGGCGTCATGACTGACATCATGTTATGGAGAAACATGCTGGCTTCATGGGTGCGTCCAATGGATGTCCAACATACAAGAGAACTCAAAAAGTTTGGAATGGTACTGTTTTTGTTTGGCACTCAGGAGAAAGTCTGGGAGGGTGTGAGGGGGAGGTCGGCAGAAGAGTGGGGAGTGGTTGGAAAAAAGGGGAGCAGTGAAAGTGCAAAAGGGAGAAAAAGGGAGAGTAAACAGGATACATATGAATGACATTTTTGTTATACTTGGTCTAGGTTAGAGAGTGTCGTACAAATAAAAACAGGAAAATAAAAAAGAGAACAGAACAGTGATATGACAAATGTATTCTAACATTGCTGGTGCTTCAATGGGTACGAGCTCAAGAGTGACCCCGGGCTGTCGTCTTCTGATGGCGTGGGGTGGGGGGTTGGACTGGGGGGCGTGTGGGGTTTGGGAAGAACGACGAGCTCTAGCCGTGCGCCCACATAAAAGCAATGACCTTCTCGACATCAGCTAAACCATAAGTTTGCATTCATCTGCACAAAAAAACAACTGCGCCGTCTCCTCTACGCATGAAAACATAGCAACCATGACTAAGCACAGTGCAATTTTGACGCTGAAATTGAGAGAGAGAAAAAAACAATATTCATGATATCAGACATGCCCTTTTTGGCACTTATTATCATTAATGGTAATAATAAAAAACACTGTCAAAATAACGATTTCTGTAAAAACTATTCTGCCGTTTTTGGTCAGCTTCGAACATCTGGCCAATCCTTTCTCATGCAAACATTGCGTTATGACGTCATCGGGAAGTCCCGCCCCTTTCCTTTATTCGTGGAGGTCTGAGGTAAAGGATTCAAGCAGTTTAGCGGAAACAGGGCTGCTCTTATCTGGGGTGGCATGAAGCGTAAGAGAAGTATAAAGTGCATATTCTCGCGAGAATGGGTCAAGCTTAATGTGCAGTGATGGCAGAACAAGCTAAAGAACAGAAGCCTAATGATGTTAGTACTGACACAGCAAACACAAGCCCTAAAATCATGATCGAAAGAGTGATATGCAAACTTATGTAGTGGTGAATACATTCATGGCCATGTTAATGTCGCTAAATTAACCCTCCGTTACCCAACTTTTCCCATTGTTTTTCTTCGAAATGATCACAAAACATTGATAAGTCTGTACAAAATGAGTGCTATAGTTATGACGCTGAATATGACCATGACTATGAATGGATTTGGTTTCTGTGGCCTAGTTTTCATGGACAACAAAAACTCCCATCTTGGTCTTAGCAAAACTAAAAATAAAAAGGTAAAAATGTGAAAAAGCTAATATAATAGCTCAAACTGTTGTTGCCATGCAAAGATTTGTCCTCAAAATGAATGCACATTGCCTAATTGTTTTTTTTTTTGTACGATTTTTTGTCTTCACTTTTTTTTTTAAATCCACGCTTCACTTGGTATCATGCAATATCAACGTGCAAAAAAGATAACATCTATCTTCACAAAATACATTTTCAGAACTATAAAAGGCTGACTTAAGAACGCTGATAACTTATAAAACTTTAACCATGCTAAGCTAACTCGGCAGTCTTCTAGCCCCAGGGGATGTGTGTTAATGTCCACATGGCACCCTGTTTTTGTTTGGCCTACGAGATGAATCCCACCCTTCTTTTTTAACAAGGACTAGTTAGTTTAAGGGGGCAGAAAACTCTCAACCTTATAGTGCTAATGTCTATTTTTTGCTTCTCTAGTCACTTTACCCCCGCTAGTTATACCTTAACTGTGGCTTGTTTGGCACTTTTCACTTTTTTTTTTTCTTTTTTTAAATTACAAAAGTATGTCTGCTCTTAACTAATGGTGTTTAAATCACATTTAAATCTGTAAAGATCTATTTTGGCACAGGTTTATTAATCCACTGATATAGCAATTATTTCATTATGAATGTAGCATTTAGTTACACCTCTTACAACTACCACATCCTGCTAAATGACAGACCAGATATGTTTTTTTAATCTTAAATTTTAGTACATCACTTACTCAATAGCAGCATCTTCACAACTTAAAAAATAGTATATGCAAATCTACTTAACATCTAGGTAAATCCAAAGCTCCTACACAGACAGAAAAGGACAAGACATGACGACATGCTACTACGTATATTGCTTTCAGTACTCATCACATTTGATCTATTTTCCCAGTTACTAACAAAAAAACTAAACGAAAAAAAAAAACTCCCATATGTACTGAATACAAAAACAACAAAACAGAAAGCTGCTCCTTGACACTATGTTGGCACCTTTTTATAGATTTCACATTGAATTGTCACAGTAATATCTTGCTTTTAATGTGTCTTAAATCAAACGGTGATGTAACCGTTTTTTAAACGAGAAAAACATTTATCTGGGGGATCTACTGAGACTCGTTCAAGCTCTGAAGTGTCTGATGAAGTACTGCATCATGGGTAAAACCGAATGCACAGATGCACTCTAAAATGCGGAGGCGCTCGATTGCCATCGCTTCCTTGTCTTGATCTTCAAATCTGAATTATTACGTCCTATTGTTTGAAAATTGCACCTCAACAAAAACGTGCAACTATCTTATAGTAGAGTACCTGGAGTCATTGCTGTTTCAGACCTCCTCACCTTGGGCGCAACTGCTATACACATTCATATTTATCCAAACTTATCACCTTTACACGCATTTACACACACGTGCACACCATACAAACACATGGATGGCTCGTATTAAGTCCCTTTTGGAAAGTGTGATGTGCGCAAGTATGATCTACTGCAAGCTTCTAGTTCAACTCTGTAGGCGCGTCTTCCCTTTCGCATCGTCATTGTTTCATGAAAGGGCAAGCAGACATGCACTGTTACACCAGACATTGCCACCCATGGAGAGATGTGAGAGAAAAGGGGGTCTCTGGGTTGATGTGTCAGAATGGGGGTGCACGAAGGTAAAAAGGGGTGTTGAGAAGAGGTGAGGGGAGGTGATGGTTTTTAGATGAGAATAAAGAAGCCTCCTTACCAATCGGCTCAGATTTACTCTCTCTGGTGCTCCAATAGCAAAGGAGAGGAAAGAATCATAACTTTAGTCATTGGGAGAGAGAGCACCAACTCTGTCTTTTTCTGTTGGTCTAATTCTTCTTTGGGAAATGCTCTCTGTGCTAAAGTCTTGATAATAGGAACAGTTTGGTATTTTTAAGCTCATTCCAGCCGGTAGAGAATCAATATGTTGTCGTTTAGACACAGAATCATTTTGGAAGACACCTAGAGTTTAAACGTACAGAATATACCATCCTCTGCCCCTTCACGATAAATATACACGGTCAGCTGGTGGGTAGTTAGTGCACACTTGGAAGGATATGGTTGGATACTGCAACATGATGCCAAAAAACTGGTCCGAAGAGTCTGACCTCAACCTAACAAACCATCCAGGCTTCTTTTCCACCCTACGGTAAGCGATACCTTGACTCCACGTAGGTTGTTATAAATATGAGACGTTCCACATGAGTACATTCCATCATGGTGACGCATCGATGCGATAACGATATAGAAACCCTGACTTTTTTTGGCCTTCCATCACGGCCTCCACACTTCACAGTGCATTAAGACAAAATTCAGTGTACTCCGATTCAAAACAAAAAGGTAATGGGACCTTATTAGCAGCACATACGTCGCACATGGGTATTTCAGATCTGCACAGGATGATCTTCACACGGGCAGCCCGTTCTAAAATTTTATTCACTGGTGACTCGGGACATACAGTATATAAAAAAAAAACTGTGATAGAAAAGACAACCTGGGACTTCCATGTTACCGAGCAGCCTGTGCAGATCAGAATTTGTTCATAGTCATTCAGTAGTATGTTGTTCATGAAACGCCTCAGAGCTCTGAGGGCCAATTTCTGATTTGATATGGAATATCTATGCAAATTTTCCCGTAGATTTGCACAGATATTCGACTGCAGTGGCTCAAAGTGCACAATCTCTCGCGCTGCAGAGGGGCAGCATAGAGTAAAGATGGGGATATGTTTTGGGATGTTACATAAAAGGATTGGCTTTCATATAAAGTCGTATTCTGACACTCCCTTGGACTTGTGCAAAGACCTACATTCTCATTCAGTAGATATGTGAATAAATTGTCTAGTCCCACTGTGATTTCAAGTCTGCGTATGTTTAGTTGCATTTTCAGCATTTAAATCTGGTAATAGTTTGCTGAGTGTGTGTGTGTATATGTGTGTGTTTTGTATTAATATCACTGTACAGTACATCCGCCCCTATTCTCTCTGTTGGTGCCGACGGTGCAGTTATCACTGGACATTAAATAAGACATATATTACATGGACACACGATTCAATCTACTTAAATAAAAAACTAAATCCAAAATATTGTCTTTACATTCATGTCAACCTGAATTCACAGATTAAGAAAAACAAAAGGAAATACCTAAATCCTTATGGGTGAAATCATATTAATAAATAACGTTGATGGTGATGATAATTTGTAATAATAATAATAGTAGTAGTAATAATAATAATGATAATAGTATTTGTATAAACACCAGACCTCAAATCCCATAGACGAATGCCACAATTTTCTAGGAGCTCTGGTACGAAAGATTCAGGTGCGTTTTGCGTCCTGGCCTATGTCCGCAACATGATCTACAAGCTTTCCTTATGCTAACAACATCTGCAGTGGCATGCACCTGGTCCAACTAATCAGTCTAAGGCCCTCTTAAAGAGAAGGCATGGGCAAAAGGGTGGGAGTTAAACTAAGGACTAAAAAATTAAAGAACAAACATCTGTCAGCTAGGAGGGGATGGGGGTGGGGAAAGGGCCGATTCCTGGGATTGCTCCACCCCATTGTCCCCCATCCGACCACCTTGCCCACCTGCTGGGAACTGCAGCGCGGCAGCATGCCGGGTTGAAATGCCATTCACTGCTGTCCAGAAAATGCACAAAAAAAAACAAAAAACAAAATCAACCAATAAAAATCCCGAATTTAAGGATTAAACCCATATTTACATTTTACACATTTTTCTTTTTCAAATTTTCCACTTTGAAAGGAATTCTTTCAATTTTTTTTTAATACTGAGATTTTTCCCACAAAGAATGTGGCTGATTTCCGTCGATATTCGTGCCCTCCATCTTTCTCTGTATCTTCCCCATCCCCCACTCTTTTTCTCTCCTTTTTTCATACTCCCTGTTTTTAGCCCACCTTCTGCGGATTGGTGGCCCTCACACCCTGCTCGTATGTGATTCGCTGGCTGATAAGATATTGGGCTGCCTGTGTGGCGGCTGGTGATCCGGTAATGGTAACTTTACGGTTTCTGGTGCCAGGAACAAACTCTCCCTTTTTGGAGATCTGAATGCGGGCTCCCGTCAGTTCTTGGTACTCCACAAGCGTTTTGCCTCCCTTCCCCAAAATGGCACCCACCAAGTTCTCCGGCACCGCAATCTCCACCACATCTTTGTGACCCTCGGTCAGCTTCTCGGTGGCCAGCAGGGAGCTCGCCATCAGCGGGGAAGCGGCGCTCAGGTAGCCGTTGGTGGCTCCGGTGGCGGCGGCGAGCGATCCTAGCGTGAAGCCTCCCAGGCTGGTCGCCGGGTGCCCGGAGCTGGTGGACGCGTCGCTGGCGTAGGAGGCTAGCAGGTTGGCGGCCGCGGCTGCGGCGGGGTTGGCGCTTGCGGCCACAGCGGCTAGGACTCCTGAGGCAGCCGCAGGGTTGAGCCCTAGGCCCAGGGAGTTGGTATTGTATCCGTAGCTGGCTAACGTGTTCAGCGCGGATGTGATAGTCAGCAGGTCGTTTCCTGAGAAGCTGGACATGGTGGTGGGGAAAGCGCCCACTCCAGCCAGACTGGCCTGCCCTAGGAGACTGGAGGCCGTGGCTGCCGCCGCCGCCGCAGCAGCCGGCATCACCTCTGCCGAGTTGGCGTATGGGGAACCGGTGGGGTTGGAGTTGGCCACAGGGCCAGAGATGTTGGAGTAGCTGATGTTCAGACAGCTGCTGCTCTGTGGGTCCTCCTGGATCTTCTGCACAATGATCTCCACAGCCTTGCGGTTCTGCTCAGGCTCCCCGCTGATGGTGACAACGCGTTCCTGCAGGTTGATGCCTTCGGGTTTCTGTGAGAGCTGGACCCAGGCGCCGGACTGCTCCATGACGGCCTTCACCGTGGCTCCGCCCTTGCCGATGATCAGCCCTGCCGTGCTGTTGGGCACTATGAGCTTGGCCTGAAGAGAACATAAACAGAGAGGACGGTGTCAGTTAATGAGTCACTCTCCAGCACTCTTTAAGCATGCACCATTTTTTTTTCAGTTTTGGGATTTACAAGTAGGAAGAATGTTTTTTATCCACTGGGAGCCCATTAGTGGCAACACAACCAGTGTCGAACACAAACAACTATTTTTGCGGCAACTACACCCATATGTATTGAAAACCAAAGCCTGGACTTTTCACAGCAATTACTTTGTTTCAAGTTGCCTTTTTATCAATTAAACCACAAATCAAGTTACATCTAACGGATGAGTTTAATCTAGTAATTTAGCAGCACAGCAGTGTAGTGTTCTCAGAGAGTAAGTTTTAGACAATGTCTGCGAAAAACAATTTCCTCATTGATGGAGGGAAGAAAAGTGTAAACAGTGGTTACCATGGTTTCTTCCCTAACTTAGAAAGGCTTGCTCCTCTGATCAAGCAGTGACTCATGCTGGTACTTTTTACCAAAGCTTCACACAGAACATACTGATCTTGTTAAAATGTTGCTAAAAGCACTGTTACTAGATGTGTTCATTAAGGTTTCTTTCCTAAAAGTATTTGAATTTGTTTCTATGTAAGCGGTTTACGTATCATGTTCTATGTATGAAACTGTATTTGGTGCTGTAACTGATCACCATTTTGAGCTTAAAAAATATTAAAATAACATAAAAGGATTAGATACATTTTGTTTCTAGAATTTATCTAGATTTTTTCCAGATTGTATCACATTAGGTTGACTGTAAAATATCAACAACAAAAAAATATTTTAAAAATTTGTTTATCTCAGTGTTGGAATTAACTAAACAATTAAAAAGATTTTTTACATTTTAAACTAATTTAAATACAGCTTAGATAAAATATAAATATTAGATACACTTAAAATTAAAAATGTTGCCTTGGCAATTAATTAAACATGTTTAAGTTGAAGTGCTACAATTACTAAAAATAAAAATTAAATTAAAAATACTATAATAGTGTATGAATAATACTAAAATGACACTGGTTTATCTGAGATACAAAACACAACGAAGTAGGGTAAACGTACCTATTAAGCTCACCAAAATCTACATTGAGACATTTTTAGTGCACAAGATATTGGTTTCAGTACAAAAACTTATGTTAAAATAAAATATTAATCTCTCACACAAAAATATTTAATTATATTTTAAATGACAAAAGCATTTAAATTAAGATATACATCATTAAATGCAAAAAGTCCGGCTGTGATTAATGGGTACATGTTTGTACCCTTTAAGCACACCCCTGTTCCCATTAAGCTCACATCATGTTTTATTAAAAATTTTTGTTTATTTTAAACAACCTTTTTAAAGAATAATTGAAAAATATTTTTTTTAATGTACAAAGTCAATCACAAAAAACAGAACACAAAAATCAAGCAACAAAGCACTCAATTTGATCAGTTATATATTCATAATGAAATGTCATTTAAGCACATTGCAACATCTAGACTAGTCCATGTTCAGCTAAGTAACACAAATTCAAAAATCAAATAAAACAAACCAATAAAACATTTCATTCATGGGGATGAACACAGAAACTATCCTCATTATGAAGCCTCTTATTAAATGGATGTCAACCTATCTATAGTCTCTTAAGGCTGGAATACACTACATGATTTTTGCCTTGATTTTCCACAGATTTACAGTCTGGAGAAGTTCACAGTAGTTGGCAAAGGTCAGAGCCAGTCTGCAGATTTGAGTTGACAATCCATAGAAAATCAATTAACTTAACTTAACTTAAAGTGACAACCATCACTTAATATTTAAAGTCTGTTTATGAAGTATTTACATAGACGTTCAATGTGGAAGAGCTTAAAGAGAGCACACTGAGCTTAATTGGAGCAGCAACAATTTTTAATACATTTTATGTAATATTTATTAAAATGACAAGATTTTGCAAAATAAATA